AAGTTGCAATCTGCAAGCATGGTATCCATAGCTTGTTGAAAAATAGCTGGTGCCACCTTTTATACAAAAAGGAAGTCAGTTGAGCCTATACAATCCCTTAACCTTGCTGGTTAAACTTATTCGAAACATTCATTTTTAATCTGAATTTGTAAATATGCTTCAGTGAGATCCAGCTTTGAAAACATTCTTCTTCCATTCAACTTTAAAAAAAATTTCTTCTGGGCTTGGTAATGGATAGTTATGTGTTTCTAAACAACTGTTTAGTCCAGTTGAAAAATCTGTGCAAACACAAATTTTATTATTTCTTTTCTTTACGTGCCGCCCATTTCAAATGTTTTTTTTTTCTATTACACAAATTCTTTCAAATCTGTCCAACTCTTCATTAACTTGTTCTAATACTGTGGATGATATGCTCTGTTTTGGCTTAAATACTGGTGTCAAACTGTTTTTTTACTTGAAAATCCACCTTGAATGTTGAACACTGACACAGTTCATTTGACAGAATATCTGGAAAACATTTTTTATTTCTTCCTTGAGAGTTTTGTTATGACTTTTTAAAATGGTTGCTTGTCTGCTTACTCTTTTACAATAAACATTTATTGGCAAATTCCAAAGTTCAAATAGTTTCATCCAGTCTGTCCTGAATAAATTCGGAGAATTTTTAATACATAATCTTTAGTTTTTTCATGCTTATTACGGAATGAGACATTGCAAATTATTTCTCAAAAAAAAAAAATTCTCAGCAGAAACTGAAATCATGACTTTGGAAGTCCTTTTTTAATAAAGGCTTTCCAATTTCCTTCCATGTTTCCCTGATTAATGAAATATCACTAGTAACAGTGTCCAATAACATTTTCACATCCACATTATTTATTTTTACATTTACAAATTTTCTTTTGTTTTCTGTGACCATTTTATCTATCGCAATGGTGTGTACTAACTTCTTCCTGTGAGCATTTTTTCTGGGTTTGGATTTGCAGTGTGACTTTCTATATCCTCATTTACCATACTTCTAACATTCTGCATTCTTAAATGGACTTAGATGTAATTTACCACATCAGAAACAAGGATTTATTTGTCTTTGTACATTTGTCCTTTGTTTTTACCAGTGCACATTCATTTTTTCTGAATTTCTTCAGTATTGTGCTTCAGATTTAGCATTGTCTGACAATAATCTAGTATTTCTTGCAGTGTAATATTACATTTTGTTCAATTTTCATTAAAATTTTTGCTCATATTTCAGCATCTTTTTTATGTGTAAAAACCTTGCATGAAAATTAATTCTTTGAACATATCTGGCATCATTTCATTTATTCTAAACCTTTCACATTCTGTATTGATAATACCAGCCTGTGACATCTTCTTCCTCATTCTTCAGGCACCTCCAACAAGCATTAAACAGAGAGCTTTTATCACTAAAGATTTTTGTCAGAATCTGTACCATGTCTTCAAACCTGATTTCACTTGGTTTTCTCAGTAAAATATAATTGCAGTATATTCCATACTCTATAGAAGCTAATTTCCTAAACAACAATCTTGTTTTTGCCTCATTTTCTCAGCTTCTGTATTCCTGACTGAATATATATTCATATCTGTGAAAATATTTAAAAAAAAAGTCAGTCCCTCATCAGGATTCTAATATGGTGTTTTGAACAGTATCTGGTGTAGGAGACATTGAATTTTTGTTTACTTCAGAATTATATCCAACTCCTGTTGCTGTTTTTGTAGTCCTAGCAACTGTTGATTTTGTTGTTGCTGAATTTCAACTATAGAAGCCAAAATTTTCTCGATATTTGCAAGAATGTTTTTTTTCTCTGACATGATTGAAATTCTTGTAACTCTAGTTATAACACATAGGAGTTCCTGAATCCTCATTACTGTCATAAGTTGTAAGAGTTCCAAATTCTCCACAAAATGATTATAAATCCTGAGTTTCAAATCCCTCATCGTCATTATTATAATGCCACTATTCTATGGCTCTTGTTATAACACATTCTTACTTATATAACATACTTTGTATAAGGATTCTCTATACATAATACTTTGACTACTTGCCGTGATGCCTGTATAAATTAGTCTGAATGACTCCAAATGGCTACTAATCCAACCTTTGACCTGGAGCTTTTTATAGTAATGAACTACTTTTTATAGTCACTTGAGATGTACTATTTACTTTACAACACATTTTATAAAAAGAGCTTACAAGAAATAAATCATATTTCCGACACAGTTGCCTACCCAAATATATACTGTTGTAATTTTGATCTCATCCTCATCGCCAAAATGTTATAACCTAGGGAAGGTTACTGAATAGAATCACATGAAAGTTGGTAATGAACGATAATACTTCAGACATGAACAACACATATATGATTCACCAGTGGCATTTAGAAGAAGTCAACTGCTAGAAGGGAGTCAAGTGAATTCCACAATGAATCTTCAACTGCAGACCAACATACAGTATTTACTACTGTATTTATGTGAATGGGGACATACCCATTATTGTCTGTAGGTATGCTACAACTTATACCATATTAAAAAATGTCCAAATTTTATGTTTTACCCAATAACAGACAATACTTATAAACTTGCCAAAAGGATTTTGCAATACACACCATTTAAATCAAAGTGTCTGTTGGTTATAAATGAACATCCCCATGTGAAATATTTGACCAATCAGAGAAAATTAAATCCTATTTGTCTCTAGTCTACTTACTAGAATTTTTTTATAAAAACCCACCGATTTTGACTTTTAGAAGCAAAGATGCAAGTGCTTCCAAGCTGTTTAAACACAAGTGAAGACATCACTACATAGCCTCCACCACCACCACCAGTGCATTCTGAAATAAATGTGTTGGCAACTTCAAACAAATCATCTTCAACAACAACTTGGATGGTCTGTGAACCAACTACCCAAAGACTTTTACTTAACTAAAGACTATTTTTACTCTTTTTGAATTCATGTACATCTGTTTATCTGTATTTTTGTCATAACATATCTTAGTCAAAAGTGCGAATAATTTTTGCCTTTCCCTCATACAAATGATTTATTTAACAGGCATACCTGTATTTTCTTATTTTTTTATCTTATTATTGCTTGGAATTCAAATGTTTTGATTTTTAATATAAAAAATCATGGATGACTAAATTTCATACACATTCACTCAAAAGGGAATATTTTTAAATTCAAATGATACTGAAATGGGTGTATACGTTGTTCACATAGTATCAGAATAAGCTGGAATTTGGTGAGAAGATTTACTTGACTTGTATGGCAATTGAAGGCGGTCTCTTGACATAGCAAAATTTTCTGCTTATTTATGGTCAACTCAAAGCATTAGAAGATGTTTACTCTTAAACAAGAGAGGTTTTCATTGGTTAAAATCCATTCTTAATTTGTTTTATTTTTCAGATGGAAATTGTGTTAAGCCGCTTCTGCAAATATATGTTCTTTGTTGATTTTTGTTTTATCCATGGAAGTGTGGAAGGTTGAATGTGTGAAAATTTTGTCTTGTAAAAATATTCAACTTATCCACAAAGAAAAAGGGAAAGAAGAGGATAGATAAAACATAAACACCAAATGTTTATATTAAAAAGATTTGTTGAAGTTTCTTCTTATGAAGACCATTTTCATACAACAGCTAAACGAGTAGACACAGTAAGATTTCTTAATGACGTCTCTTACTACTTTAACTAGGACTATTACACCAACTGTTACTCAGACTCACACTAATTCATATGTTGTCCTTTTATTTATACATAATAGTAACCACATGAACATGTGTGAATATATAACAGAAAAATGCCTGGCTCTATTCAAATGTTTGTTCCTGAAAGAATATAAAATTTTCAACAACCTAATAAATATTCCTGCTCAAAGGATGTTGAAATTTTGCAGATGGGTTATTTGATATTTGTTTAAATGCTGTATATTGTTTAGGTTTCTCTGTAAATTGTAATTTGTTTCAATTTTATTTTATCCTCTCAGTAGGAACATTTTATCTTGATGATTCCCAATAAAACAATCTTTTTATTTTGTCTGAAACTGTTTAATTAATCAGATGTTTTAACAATGTATCCATTATAATTTGAAAATGTGTTCATTTAACTAAATTTTAATTTATATATTTTTAAAGTTTTTCTTCACAAATACTGCAGAAATGTTAGCTTCTATTTTTGCATCCAGTTAACTGCAGTCTAATACCTAATATCACAATGTAAATGTGAAAGTTGTCCATATTTTTAAATCAAAATTCCTTCTCTTTATCAAATCAGTAGAGAATTGGCAGAATGGATTTTTGAAGTATAAAGTATATATATGTATATTCAGAGAGCAATATCTAGATTCATAAATCATTCTGTTTATTTCCTATCAATTTTCATTTAATATTTCTCTGTTACTCTATTCAAACACACACACACACAGAGATTTCATACCTATATTTCACCAATGACAGTAATGTGTTGTGTTGCAGAGCAGAAAGAATTATTGTTTTACAACTCCTGGTATCATTTGTTCTGCAAACAATATTTTGAAGAATCTATGCCAGTCTGGGTAAAAAAGAAGAAAAAGACATTGTATTTAAACAAAGAACAATTAATAAATGTATTAACAAAACATATTTACAGAAAAGTAAGGAAAGATATAAACTTCATTTCTGAAGTTATGGATAGTTCAACACCATCTTCAGTTGATGTCTCTGAAGTACTTACAAGCTGCATGTTTCTCCAAGAGAAAGAATAGAACATATTTTGATGCTCCAAAATCAGACAGTAAAGAGAGTGAGCTTTTCAAAAATTCTGTAATTTTAGTGATGGAGGTGTAAATCAAAAACTATGTGAACTCTTGTCTCTTCTTCCTCTTATGGACAAAACTTTTGTCTCTCGTTTGTTTTGTTTTTTATTCCTTCATACCCTGTATTTACGAACAAGACTTCAATTTATTTTTCTCTAATACATTCTTTCTCTGACCATATTCCTATATTTTTTAGTTTATTAAGATTTTCTTTTTTCCTTTTCTTCTTTATTCTTTGTGTCTCCATTGTTTTTTTTGTTTTTTTTGTTTTTTTTATTTTATTCTTCCATTTTCTTCTTCATTCTGCCATTTTATTTCTCAACTTTTAATTTCTGTGCCTTTTATTGCTCTTTATCATGACTTTTTTCTTTCAGTAATATTTTTCTTTTTCACCTACTGTTTTTCCTTTTTTTTTCTATCTTTCTCTTCCTCTTAAAGAGTCTTAAATCTTAATCAATCTCTCATATTCGCTCTACTATTTCACTCCATTCTTTCTCATTCTATTCTTATATTTTTTTCACTCGGCTTCTTCTCAACTCTTTCAATTTAATTCGTTTTTACATCTTTATTCTTTTATCTGTAGCTTTTCATATTTCACTTCCTTTTATCCTTCTACTCCATTGTCTTCCCTTCCTTCCCATTCACAATGACTACTTTCCTCCTCCTCAATTTGTTCTATTACTTTTCCTTTTCTCCCTATTCTCCTTACTACTATTTTCCCACCTCTTCCCTTATTCTCATTACTACTACCACCTTCCCTTCTTCCTCCCTTATTCTCATTACTACGACTTCCCCTCTTCCTTCCTTATTCTCATTACTACTACTTTCCCTCTTCCTCCCTATTCTCTTTAATACTACTTTCTCTCCTCCCCCTCCTCGTTTATTTTTCTTACTACTACTTCCCCTCACTAGTAATTTCTCTCCTCATCCTTCCCATATTTTCCTTACTACTACTACTTTTCCTCCTTTCCTATTCTCCTTACTACTACTTCCCTCCTCCCCTAGTGTACATCCTACTCCTTCCTTCCTCTTACTACTCCTTCCATTTTCTTTACTACCACTACTACTTTCTCTCCTCTTCCTTTTACTATTTTCCCTCCTCTTCCCCTTACTACTACTTTCCCTTCTCTTCCCTATTCTCCTTACTACAATTTTCACTCCGTTTCCCTGATTCTCCTTACTGCTACTTTCTCTGCTCCAAACTCCTCCCCTATTCTCCTTACTTCTGTTTTTGTTGTTTTACATAAATGTTTGGAAAATTTCTTCTTTTTCTTCTATCATTGTGCCAGAAAAATTGTTCATTCTACTCTTTTGTCTTTCTCTTCTCTTCTTTAATGATAGATGGATTTGTAACTTCCTTTTTCTGATTTAACAGAAAATTGTTTTTCTCTCCTCACTTTCTGCAAAATTCTTTGCATTCTCCAAGACACGCATGTAATGCATTTACTACTTAGTTTAGCACTGGATGGGTCCAATAAAATGGATTTGGTTTAGGGCACAGAGACTTGCTATTTCCTCTTCTTTCTCATTATCATTATTTTTGCTGTCATGGGGACAAAAAGCTTAATTTGTTCCACTGGATTCATTATTATTCACATTGTTGAATTGGTTTGATGAGCAAATGTGTGAAGCCTTAAAAACAGATCTTGCTTTAATGATGATGGCTATGAAGAATAATTACAGTAACAGCTGTGAAAACCATTGGTTGACTCTCTTTGATTTTTAAAAGCAATAAAGAAATGAAAAAAAATGAGGAAAGGTCAAGGAGAATGCAAAACAAGAAGCACAAAATAAAAAGAAATGACAATATAAAAAGCAGAATAATATGACAAAAATAAGTATACTGTCACTTTCTATTTGTATACATTTATCATATATTGATATGTATATGGGTCATATTGTTCTGAACATATCATTATGGCAATAGAAGACTAAGCAAGGAATGAATTTATTAGGAATATATTTAGTTTGTTTTCAGGTTTTAATACAAACATGAGACAGAGTTAGAGCTTTATGCTTAAGATGTAAAAAAAACATGGGAGAAACAAAAGAATTTGCTTACTGATTCTATTGCTTAATATCTGTAAAAGGCATAAACTCAAATTTCCTTGTATTACTAATAATTCTGATTTAATTTCATGAGTATGTAACCTTTTGTACCAAACAGAAGTGCCATCTGGAATATTTTTCAACTTGTAAAAAGAATCTATCTTGCATATTTATAAGTCTACAATTCATCCATACTTAGAATATTGCTGCCACATACAGAAATCAAATGTAAGAAAAATTAACTTTTAGTTATTTACTAAGCTTATCTTGGTTTGGCACAAGGCTGTAAGTGGAGGTCACTGAGTGATGATTGAATTCATTTAGGAAGATAATTTGGGTTGGCCCTTGTCATTTATTGGAAAGGACAGTTCTTTATTTAACTGTTTCTGTTCTTGTCCTTTGTTGAATTTGGAAGGTAAAAAACAATATCATTTTCAATTTGATTGTGTATCTAGAGAAATTAAATAAAAAAAATGACTCTATATACTTTTTTCTTTATGTCTTTTTTATAACATGACAAACTTGGCAAGCCAATATGCACCACTCAAAAAAAGTCTTGTCCAAGAACTTAAAATAGTCTGTTTTTATTCTGATACCATCAACTTGGAAGGCAACTATCTTCAATACAAGGTCCCAAACATTACTCTGTTTCCAAATTATCTTCTTCTAAGACATTTTAGTTGATTATGAAAGATCCAACGAAATTCATCCAATTTAGCTCTACATTCATCACTAGATGTTACTGTTGAGGAATTAGTTTTCATGTGCTTCTTCATCCACCTTAGACATTTTGTTTTCTAATGTTTACTATAATATAGTAGCTTGGTCATTATTTTATTATTTTACATATTAATAAAAGCTCATTGTTAATTCCTTTTCTTCTTTTGTTCTTGCTTCTTAATAATATTTCTCTTTTCTTACACTTTGACTCAGTAATCTCGTGTGTCTTAGTGGCTTTACTAATGATTATAAAAAAAAAAGAAAAAAAAAGAGTTTTAATTCTTGGACAAAATAACTGTGCTGCAGAAGAAATTATTTGAAAATAAGTGTGCCATATAAAATAATCACTGTGCCAGGGGAAAAGTGAAGGGAATAATGTAATCATACTGATACTTGTATTTAGTACACAAAACAAGATATATAAATATTGCTTCACTTTGAAATCTGATCCATAACAAGTTATCATAAATTAGTCCTTTTGAAATTGCATATAGCATAGGTTGCACTAGAGGTAGTTTCACTTGACAACACTAATTGCTACAAAACTTAAAACATTAACCTTGTGTTCAAAAAAATAAATAAAAATTAATTATAGTGTCAAAAATATAATATTCCTGTTAATAAACCTGGTCAGTGTAGGGAGATGACTCATAATTCCCTTTAGCTATAAAAAGGCAGGATTTAGAAAGAAAGAGATGTCACCCATCTTGGATTTAAGATAGAATATATTTTCTCGATATACATTTTTTTTATAGAGACATTGTTTGTAATTTCCATAGAAGATAATCATGATTCTTCCTGCGCAGTGGAAATAGCTTGCATTCTGAAGAGTTGTCATCTTTGTATATCAAATTTAACCTTGCTATATGTTTTCTCTTCTTTCCTTTAATCTGTTTTTCTTAATACATTTTCTTTTGTTGGACAGTGGATACATGGCAGCTAAAATGGCAGTTATCTCCGGGATTGACCAATATGAGTGTTGAGGATATATTTTTGAACATGGCTGCTCTCCATCCAAATATCCGATGTTTGGCTGTCATCACAGCAACCAAAATAGGCATCCAGTGTAAATATTCTGCTTCTAAACCAAATGATTCACTGAAAATGATTGCAAGAAAAAATAAAAATGGTCTTCCTAATCTGCTGGATACAATCATTTCTGCTGTGCAATGCATGCTGGGAGATACTCATGAGAATGTCAAGATGGCTGCTGCTTTGGGCATGTTCTGCTTAGAACAAGAAAATGACAAGGTAAGACTCCATAGGTTTTATATTTGAATATAGATTACAGAAGGTGTTGCAGCAAGAGAATGATGTCTCTACTCCATACTCATTACAAGAGCAAACTCTGGAAGTCAAACTAGAGAAAAGAATTTGAATTGTAAACATTGCAATATCTGTCTATATTTCTGAGATGAGGTATTATGTACATTATTTGGACTAATATCCTCATCTTTGTCGCCATATTTATTACAACGTTTCGGCCATTGTACATTCCGGCCTTCTTCAGATGGTTGGAATGTCGAACTGAACCCTTTATTTTGCTCACTGAGGTAGACTGTTCTAGTTTCACGTGCCATGTTTAATGGATGTCAGTTATCAGTTATCTCCTGTTAACTTTCCCTCTTAAACTTCTCCACTGCCTTAACCGGGTATTGAACTCACACTCTTTGGGTCCTGTCACTGGATCAAACCAATTCCTTTATCCACTGTGCCATGTGTCCTTGAGGACACCAGAACGGTCTACCCCAGTGAGTGAAATAAAGGGTTCAGTTCGACATTCCAACCACCCGAAGAAGGCCGGAGCATACAACAGCTGAAACATTGTAATAAATATGGCGACAAAGATGAGGACAATAGTTCAAATAATGTAAATAATGTAAACATTGCAGTCTAGAACTTAGTATGATACAAATACTGATATGAAAAAAAAAAAACAAAGATTTATCTACATTAGGTTATTATCAATTTATTATCATTTATATACTGTTTACCTTTAGGAATTGGATGATCATGGATCTCCACAACTTCATATGTGCAGGTATTGTAATGGATAGCAAATCAGAATAAGAAATTAGAGAACACTTCAAAGTCCTGTTGGCTTCAGTACATTCACTTATGCACAAATACCCTTGGTCAGTGCCAAATTTACATATGAGCTAGTATGGGCCCCATGTGCACTCTAGTCTTGGGTTCTTGATAAAACTGAAAAAAAAAATAGATATAAAAACAGAAGATATTTATTTATTTTGAGATTTAATGGAGCTCTTTTGAATTAATTTGAAAAAAATTTAGAGTATTTCGGCCCCTCTAGATGGATTGGGTCTTTTAAATTTGATGGTGACCCTTGAAGGGCACCAATTTAGATTTTGATGCATCTTTTTTATGTACATTTAGGTTTTTGATATAGCTTTTTTAGTTTTGCATAATTTTGTCTACTTTGCATAATTTTTTTCATAATTTTATGCTTCATTGAACACAGACATGTAATCAGGGCAAAATTGATCAATATAGTGCAAATTAGTCCCTCTTTTGATATACACAGGGTGGGGGTAGGTGAAGTCTTGCCGGGATATGGTATTATTTTTTTAAAAATTAAATGGAAGAGGTGTATTGAGAATGATCTTAAGAATTATTGAAAGACTGAAATCAAGAAAAATAGAAACA